ATACTATATAAGGGCATACAAAAGTTTTTGATAAATTAAAGAGCTTCACAAGTCAGTCAATAAATACAAAAATTAATCTATCATTCAAAACAATTGATCAGTATCAATCAATCAATCGATCAATCAATGTTCCAACATTTTTATAAATAAATCAATGCTGCATACTGTGAGATAATGAATCTTTTTAATCTTCACACAATACAATAGAATGTAATACAATATAACATAAAATAAGATCCAATATAATATTGACTACATTTGTCACTTTGTTGTTTAAACTGTACATAGCCGATTCGAAGGTCAATCGACATAAACATTTAACACACATACTGTTAATGTCAATTGACCTTCGACACGGGTATGTGCAAATTAAACTATGTGGCTTATTGGTCGTGAGATACCAAGACCAATAGTAGTAGTAGTAGTATGACCAAGCAGGGGCTGAGACTGACCTGAACAATATCGTGGTCTGCCACTATGCTTCCATGACTTAAGAGACTGTCATCAGAATCCAGCTCTTCCATGGCTGAGGAAATGACAAATATCAAAATTTTAATATGCTTCAATATAGCTCCTAAACAGCTATTTAATAATAATAATAATAATAATAACAATTTTGGCTTACATAACACAATATGCTAAAGCCTCAATGTGCTTAACAATAAACTGAAAATGCCTGAAGTAAAAAATTTATGGAAAGTACAGGTTAAAAAGGTGTGTTTTTAAAGTTGCCTTAAAATCAACAATGGAGGTTGCCCGTTGGATAGTAATAGGCAAAGCATTCAAAAGAAAGACAGAAGCCCATAATGCTTTGTTGACGGACGAATAGAATGAGCAAGTAGACTCTGAACTAGATCTCAGAGACCTCTTAGGAATATAAGGATTAATTAGTTGTGAAATAAACATTGGCAAAAAATAATAAGATATTTGAAAATATATAAAATTTATTACTTGTACCTTTTTTGGTCCTTTTACAATTCCCATGCCTTTTATTCTTATCTCTCTTTTATATGGATCCCATTAGAATTAAACCTAGGTGTCTTTTCTTTTGTGTGATTTTTAGCTTGGGTTGCAATTAAGTATGGGCTACTTACATAGTACGGGGTCACTGTTAATAAGCAGAGATTTAATTTCCGAAAATAAAATTCAATTCAGCTTCCTAGAGGTAAGCATTTCACACATTTTTAAAATGTATTTTATTATAATTTGGAGGTAAACTCATTTTCTGGACTAGCAAATATGATATTAGGGATATATTGCTTTAATTTGAAGATCATAAACACTTTTAGAGCGAAAATATCAATTTTAACTTATTCTAGAGAAACATGCAACACAGACACTGGTAATACACACCTGAAAAATCAGCATTACCAACTCCCACGATAATGATAGCCATTGGTAGTTTGCTAGCCTACAGATAAAATAATAATTTATTATATATAATCAACTAATAATAATAATAATAATAATAATAATAAAAATAATAAATAATAATAGTAATACAGTAATATAATAATGATAATAATAATATTAAAATGCTGAAATAATAACTTCACCAAAATTATTTATAATCATAATATTAATAATAATAATAAAAATTTAAATATTTATTAATCGCTCTTACACAGAGGGTCTCATAACGCTATTAGAGAAAAGATGAATGAAAAAGGTGAGGTTTGAGAGCAGTTTGAACTGTTTCAAGGTTGGAGAATGACAAACTTCATGAGGTAGTTCATTCTATAGGGATGGTGCAGCAGCATAGAAAGCGCTGTAAGAAGTGGAATTGGCAAGATTTATAATCCATACTGTACTTACATTGATAACAGCAACTTTAGTAAAATCCATGTCCGAGATGATACCGTCAGTTATTATCAATAAAACAAAAAAATTGGAACCATTCATAAATCCTGATGCATCTCTGCAAAAAAATTAATGGAATATTTAAGAAAGACCTCTTAGGAACATAAGGATTAATTAGTTGTGAAATAAACATTGGCAAAAAATAATAAGATATTTGAAAATATATAAAATTTATTACTTGTACCTTTTTTGGTCCTTTTACAATTCCCATGCCTTTTATTCTTATCTCTCTTTTATATGGATCCCATTAGAATTAAATCTAGGTGTCTTTTCTTTTGTGTGATTTTTAGCTTGGGTTGCAATTAAGTATGGGCTACTTTAGCATATGGGCTACTTTAGCATATTGTGTTATGTAAGCAAAAAGTGTAATAAAGTAAAAAGACAGTCATGTGACAAAGTCATTTCAACATATACAGCTGGTGAATTATAATTCTGTCCATGGCACAGTGGTAAATG